GGGTATGCAGCTGCCCAGTAAGGATGGTCATAAGGTGGTTTAACGGGGCAAAAAGATATATGGTGACATCCCCCACAGAAGGAACAAATATTATTCTTAGGCAGACAAGGTTGCGTGGTTGGAGGGTATGAATAAGGGAACTGATAATTTTGTGGTGTATGAGAGTAACTTTGATGAGGTGTGCAATATTGACGAGGAGGAGTGTAAGGAGGGTATGGTGTAAATGGTGAATATTCCGTGGAGGTTTGAGGGTAAGGAATTCCTCCAGGAATTTGGCTGAATGGGTTCATCTCATGCCTCTTAGAAAAATACCTGAAAGGTTAGCACAGAAAAATCCTACGAAGAACAAAAAGAAAACTAACTAAAAAAAATCTAGCTGAAATTAAGTAACCCTTAAAACTGACACCGTCCCCAGCAACGGCGCCAAAAATTGATGTGATTTTTCTCACACTTAAAAAGATTGTAATATAGTGGTGTAAGTACGAGTATCGTCTCCACAGAGACGGACAAAAGGGAATTAAGTATTAATTAAATTCAACGATAAAAAGAAATAAAATAAAAGCGTCGTGCGAGATTGAATGTTATGAAAATAACTAATGCGAATGAACAATTAAATCAGGGGGTTCTCTTTTATTAATGATGAAGAGAACATGAATTGATTCCGGGGTAACCAGATCGGTGGCAGATTAGGTCTAATCACATGAAATTGATTTAATTGAGCCTAGCTAATCATTACTAAGTTCTTACCGCTCTCGCGGCGTAGAGTAAAATAACTTAGGGGACCAGGCTGATCTCTCATGCTACAGGATCCTAAATTATTGCCAAGACGAGCGAGCATACGGTCCCTTAATCGCTACTAATCTCTTAGGGAACGATTAAGTGTGTGTAAATGTGTCCTGGAATAAACTAGATCTCTCTTAACTTATTCTACAAGAAATTGTAATTCTAGCGCGCGTTCTAGGTTACAAAAGATATCAGTTAAATTATTCTGACTCAAATTAAACGGCATCCATGCAATTAATCCATCAAGAATCTAGCCATACATTATGATCAACCCCTTCATCAATCCCAAATCCCTAATTTAAACTACTCGCAATTCATAATTGAAAAATCAATAGAATCGGAATAAAAAGAATTAATTGTCATTAATTAAAAAGATGTAACTTACAAAGAATCCCAAAAGATTCATGAACAAGGCTGAAAAGCCCTCTAAAATTCGTGCTAGGCACTCTCTCTAAGCTCCCTCCTCAAAACGGGGGTTTACAGGCTATTTAAATAGAAAAATGGGGTGAAATTTGACTTGAATTGAGATTTCTGGAGGTAGGCACGATGTCAGACACGATCGTGCCTTCTACCGTGCCTCCGGAGTAAAAACGCGTATTTTGGGCTGGCACGATCGTGCCTGACTTTAAGGGCACGATAGTGCTTACTTAACTTCCGAATTTGGCAATTCTTCCTTCATGAAAGTTGTAGATAATGAAGTCCTCTATCCACCCCAACTTGCGTAAATGGATTTGATTCATCCAATCAAGAGATAGGATCAAAACAGTGGAAGGTGTCATTCTGAAATCGCAACAGAGATCATCCGACTTCATCGTCTGTTTTCACCTTCTTCCTCTCTGTTTATCAAAATCGTTTCTTCATATGATTTATAGACCTTGAAGTTGGCTTTAATAGTCAACTTGAATCGTGTTCATTGGATATTTCCACAAAGAGATATGCTTGAACGATTGACAGAAGGTCATCCTGATCGTCGCTTTCAAGCTCTTTTCGTCTTCTTTTGATCCCGTAGCCAATCCTAGAGCTATTTTGTCATCAAATGTTCACCTTGAACCTTCCGGTGACCTCCAAAGCTCTCAAATCAATCTCAAATGCTTCTCAAATCATCCCGATTGTTCTTCAAGCGCCGGTGTCGGGCTGAAATTCCCTGATTTTGACTCCAAATGCAACAAAACTCGACCCAACGCCTGGTAAACACAACTTGAACTAAAATTGAGACTTGTAACACCTTAAAGCTAGGAAAACCATCAAAAGCCGATACCAACATGCATCAAATGCGTGTCTAAATACGGACTTATCAAACCTCCTCCCCGTCTAGGGGTGGGGAAAAATACCGAAGTTTCAATATACTGGACTTACCATATCGAAAAATACCGAATTTACCGAAGTGTTTGGTATACCAACACTTTCGGTACGGTATGATACCGTACCGAATTACTTGGTATGATATCGGTATATATTTTGGAAATAAATGGTATACCGTTATACCGTCATACCGTAATTCGAAACCAATAATTTCTTTAAAATTATAAAAATAACTAGAAACACAACATTAATTCAAGAATAATGACTTTATATCCATATTTCTTGAAGTGTTTATACTTTTTATTGGTGATCGATGTTATTTCAAATATATTTATGTTGTTTAAATTATTATTTTAGCAGAATGTTTTGTGATGTTCATATATCATGTGTTGAAGTATCCGTACATATTTATAATATTTTTTGTTCAAAGTTGAATAGAACACAAATAGGTTATCATTGGTATTTTATAATTAATTTCATTAATAATTTTAGTATAACACTATTAACACTGATTTTCTATATTTCATTTAATATATAATAATTTGATATTAAATCGTGATAATTTACCGATACCGTACCTTATCGTACCGAAATTTTGGTATACCGAAACAAGGTATACCGAAATTTAGGTAAGGTAACAGTATGTATTTTTGCATACCGAAAGTGTACGGTATGGTAAAGGTATGAGATAAAATCTTTGGTATACCGTACCGAACCACCCATATCCCCGTCTACCCTGTATTCTTCCCAGTGCATCCTTGTAGACCTTCTCCCCCCTTGTTTCTTTTTCCACACCAATATATCCGTCATTTCCGTTCTTCTTCCAATTGAGCGATGCCGATGGTAAAGGGAATGTAAACCCGGAGATGGCTAGGAGGGAAGTTTGGGTGGCGGCACGACTGGGCTCTTTAACTTCCTCTGGCGACGTGGTTGTTGCCAGATTTCATCTCCAGCATAGTCGTTGGCTACGTTATATCTCTCTTGACCGCGAACCTTGGAGCACTTTCTCCCCCTGAGTTGATCTACTTTTGAGCTTTATTGGCGGTTTGGCGCCTGCAACGGTAAGGAATGGTGGGGCTGGCTGAAGAAGAAGGGAGGGGGGGGGGGCTGAAAAAGAAGATCATAGAACATAAAGAGAGGGTGGGGCGGACTAAAGAAGAAGAGGGGGGGGGGGGTAGGGAGAGGGTGGGCTGAAGAAGATGAAGAAAGACCAAGGTTTTAAATAGCCGTAGCGGCAGCGGCAGCGGTAGCGGTAGCGGTCATCGCGGTAGCGGCCTGTAGCGGCATGTAGCCGACTGTAGCGGTTGCAGCGGCGTGAAATATTTTCAATTGCGCAAAACATAAATGTATTTTTTTTACATCATTCACACAACATTTAATTTTGAGTTTCACTCCATGCATCACCATTATGTATTTTTTCACATCATTCACACAACATTTACACATCAAACAGTTCGTGATGTACTGCCGGAAATGTCAATTGCGGGCTGTAGCGGACTGTAGCGGGCTGTAGCGGGCGGCGTAGCGGATTTTTCCCGTGATTTGGAAATCACACACGAATAGCGGGCCTTAGCGGTAGCGGCCCCTACCGCGACCGCTATATAGCGACCGCTATAGCGGTAGCGGGCCGCTATTTCAAACAGAAAGACTAAAGGGTGGGTCGGGTACTCAGGTGAGTTTGGTTGAGGAAGGAGAAGAAAGAACATGGGAGTGGAGGGGACAGGGTGGGCTGGGCTGAACAAGAAAGAACGGGGTGGGTTTGTTGTCAGGAAGAAGAAAGAATCAGGAAAAAATGGAAAGGAAGAAAGAAAAAAAGATAATAAAGGAAAAACATTAAATAAAACGTCAGTTGGAGTATCACATTAGTAGTGTCACATCTCCAATAATACAATGTGCACTGTGCACGGGTGACATGAGAAATAACAACATAAATATTAACAACTAAGTTATCTCTCGTTATTTGAATGATTTTATACAACTTTGGTAAGTTTTTCTCTTCAATATCAACCACAATGTCAATATCTAGATGATGCTTTTGACATTGTGGAGAAAGACTTACTAAAATTGTATAAAACCTTTCAAACAAGAAGAGAAATAATTTATTTGTTAATGTTTATGTGGCTATTTTTTCTGTCACATGAGCACTGTGCACAGTGTAGCATTGGAGGTGCTCTAACTTGAAATCAACTAGCTATATGTCAAATTTGAGCATTTTTGTATAGTTCATGGACTTAATTTAGTGTTCCTTTTGTTTAAGAGTTTAATTGATTTTTTTGATATACTTTGAGGGCCAATTTGACAATTTTAAATACTCCCTCCGTCCCTAATAAAACTTCCAAATAGGTTTGACACACATTTTAAGATAGTGGGTATTATGTGGTGGAGAGTTGTGTAGAGCAGAGAGAAATGTGTAAGAATTGCTGTCAATCACAAATTTTATGTCAAAAAGGGAAATTGGAAGTTTTAGGGTATGTTTGGCACAACTAGCTGAAAAGATACTTTTACAGACTTTTTAGTAACGGTTAGCTTTTAGTGACCGAAAAGATCTTAAAAGTAAAAGGTCGTAGGTGTTTGGTAAAAAGCCGACTGTTTGGTTTAGTTCTGTTTGGTATAGAAGCTGTTGGGACTAATTAATGCTAAAAGTCACAGACTTTTTTCAGATGCTACTCCCTATAACATCTCAAAAAAGAGCTTTTTATTTTTGGAAAAGCTCTTAAAATTGTCATACCAAACATACAACTATGAACTTTTAGAGACTTTTTAAATAATACAAAAGCTAGAAGGCAAGGACTTTTGCCTGCCAAAGATAGCCTTAATTGGGACAAATGAATAAGGAAAGTTGGAAATTTATTTATGGACGGAAGGAGTACTTAACAGGGATCGGATGGAGGACTTCGTAAGAGATACTACAGCTAGTTCGGTAAGGACTGTCTATCTGGTGGTTTTACATATAACCGACCAAAATCTTTTTTTCAAAAAGTATATACTACGTAGGTTTTTTTCCAAACAAAACCTGCGAAAAAAGCAAAGGAGAATGTCTCCGAGCGAGGTTTCCGATCTAGGATCACTAAATTCGTTGCCTGCATACAAACGTTCGTGACTCGTGAGGTATGTCTTTCTCTGGATTTACTTTATGATAAAACGTAAATCATTGGCTTTCCGGCTAACCCAATGATCAATCAGTGCGTGCGGTATATACATAGATAGATCGTATAATAGCAGATATGTGAATTGTGACTGATCATATAGATATTTGCATCGAATAGGGAGAACGGGTTTTTATTGTATTTTGATTTTATTTCTTCCCAATATTTGTTCCACATCTACGGAGTAAAAAATTACTCCTTATATTTTTCCCTCTCCAATGTGTAGCAACTTAGGATGTTTTTACTTGAACTGTAATTTGCTAACTGGTCTGGTCTGGTCTGATCTGGTCTAGTCTGATATGATTTCTTTGTATTTTTATAACTAACCAAGTCTGGTCTGGTCTGTCTGCGACAAATTACAGTAAAAACATCCATATCCCTTGGGAATAGTTTACTTTTTTATTTCTTCTTCTGTATTTTTTTTACATTCTGCATTGTACTCCGTACTTTTTTTATCAAAAAAATTTACCTTCGTTTTGAAAAAAGAAAGCATGAAAGAAAATTCATAGTAGGCTTTAAGGTGCCGTTTCGTACTCAGTGTGGAGTGAAAACGTCATTTCTTCCAATGGGAAAACACTAGTAATACCAGCATTTTTGGTGGAAAATAGTGAATAAATTTGGGTTGCTTCTTCCTCTCTTTGTAGTTGCGTGTCACATGAGACATTTTTGTAACGTCTTTTAAAAAATATGGTTCTCAAAAACATTAATTTTCATACTCGTATTGAAATATTAATGACCTTTTTCAGAAATGATTACATGTGGTTATATCCCATACTTATTGGGGCAGTTATGGTTTAGAAATAAATTACGGAGTATTTTTAGATAATGTGGTAGTTATGGGCAGGAAAATTACTCAAGGGGGCAGATATGAAGCAACCCAAGCTATAAAAAAAATGTACTGAGTATAACAGTGTGCTATAGTCGATTGGGAAACCTTTACTTGGGTGGGGAGTTAGAAGCTGTTCTTTTCGTCTTAATATTACTAGGCTCGATACCCGTGCGTTGCACGGGTCATATTCAGATTATGTGTAAATAAGTATAATAATATATGGTCTAATTAATTTAATTATTTATAAGGATTACCAACTTCGGAGAAATCTGTGTTGTTAAGTAGTCAAAAAATTTAAGTTTTTTTAAGTTTGGTTTGTTTTTGTTTGGTCTGGTATAGTCTAGGACTGAAAATAATCCAAGTAAAAATATCTCTACTTTTTCTCATAAGGAAAGACTTTACACAATAATTTTCTCTTAATTGTTATATATTTTGTTGATCACTTCTAAAATAATGTCACTTTACCATTTTATAGCCAATTTGTTCTTTACGTTAAAATAATAGACACTCAAGATGTAGATATATATTACTCCATCCGTCCCGTTGAAATGTATTACATCTAATATCTGAAAATTTGTTGACTTGGTCTGATCTGATCTGGTATGGTCTAAACTGGTCTGGTCTAATAAATGTCTGCTCTCTGTGTATTTTTTAACTATGGAAATCGTCTGGTCTGTTTAAGTCTAGTTTGTTCTGATCTGGTCTGGTCTAGTCTAGAACCGAAAACTGTCCAAGTAAAAATATATGTACTTTTTCTCATAAGGAAAGACTTTGTGCCATATCTTTTTCTTAATTGTTATCTTGTGGATCAATTCTAAAATATTGTCACCTTACCGTACCATTTTATAGCTAATTTGTTCTTAACGTTAAAATAATAGACGGTCAAGATGTACATACATATAAATTACTCCCTCCATCCCGTTGAAAGGTTCCCATGAGTAAATGACACGATTATTTAGACATGTGGTTAAATAAGGTAATTAAGGGTCCTGTTGAAAGGTTCTCATGGGTAAATGATACGATTATTTAGGCATGTGGTTAAATAAGGTAATTTGGGTATATATAAAAAAAAGAGGAAAGAAAATTTTTAGAAAAAAGTTGCTAGTACTAAATACTCCCTCCGTCCCAAAAACAACTTCATAGTTTGACAATCACACAGATTAAGAAAATAAATTTGACTTTACTGTTAGGTGCACTGTTTTGCACTGTTCAAACACTGTTTGACGCAGTTTGGACACTGTTTGACACTGCTTGACACTGTTTTGATGTAGATAATTTGCCAAATAAGGAAAGTATTGAAGTGTGAAGTTAATTTTGGGACATTCATTTAAGGAAAGTGGGAAGTTGTTTTTGGAACGGAGGGAGTATATAAAGTGAAAATAATTAAAGGGAGATAAGTTGGGGAAGGGGAAATTGTGAGACTTGACATGTAATGAGCAGGAAAGAGAAATTTGAGTAAAAGTGTATTTAAAGAGAGTAAATAATTTCTTAAAGTGAAATAGAAATCTTTAAATGAGACACACATATAAGGAATATAATGTGAGAACCTTTCAACGGGACGCATGTAATATCATATTTTATGAGATTATTCTCGTTAGAATTATTAATGGAAAATAAGTTCATTAATGGAATTAAGTTTATTAATTTGTAGGTAAATATGATATGAAAATAAAGTTGCAGTATTTTTGTAAAGATCGGCAAATCAAACTCATTTTAAAAACTTCTTATCATATATTTTATAATAATACATAAATATAAATACAAATAAAACAAATTAGAGAAAATATTGGTTACAAAATATTTTGCCTAAAATATTAGTGGTAGTGATATAGAATTTATACGATTAAATATAATGTTAATCCAAACACCATATTAGCTATATATTATAATTAATTAAAGTTACTCTTTATAATTTATTTTATACTCTCCGTGGTGTAAATAATCCCGTCATTGCACTTCTAATTTGAAATTGCATGCATATTTATTGTTACCTTCATCCATTTTTTTTGCAGATTACCTTCATCCAATTTTACGTGTCTTGTTTTGGTTTAGCATGATTATTAATAAAATGGTTGAAAAATTAAAAGTTGTGATTGAGATTTGAGTAAAATATAGACAATGTAACACTTACTTTGGGACGGGATAGTACTATATTAGGATATTATACTATTTTCTAGTTTATCTTTTTTTTGGAACATTCTTCTAAACCTATTATAGTATCTGCTCATGTTAATCCCAAGATCCTTGATTGGGATGAGACTCGAACCTACGACCTCCTCTCTGGGAGATCAACAGTGATGCCATCAGACCACAAATACCTTACATCAATAATATTTTCTCCAAAAATAGCACTTTTTTGGTATCTAGATAGTCTCCAAAATAGCACTTTTTTGGTTTGGGCGGGATTTTGAGGTTCCAAACCTTATTCCTTTATATTATTATTATAGATAGATTATAGATTATAGATTATACATATAGATTATAGATATAGATTACTTATTCTTTATTCTTATTTCATTCAGATAAGATCAGATCAGAAAAATTCAAATTAGATCAGATCAGATTAGAAAGATTCAGATCAGATCAGAAACATTCAGATCAGACCAGATCACAAACATTCAGATCAGATCAGAAACATTCAGATCAAATCAGAAAAATTCAAACATGATTTATCACTTTTATTATTATAATAATTATAATTATTACTATTATAATTATTAAATCATAGTTATTTTTAATAATATTAATATATTAATAGAATAATAATTATAATAATAATATAATATAATAATATTAATAATATAATAATAATAATTCTTATGTAATAATATTAATATAATATAATAATAATAATAATCATAATTATATAATATAAAAATGGTAATAATATTAACATTATGATATAATAATAATGTTACTATTATATTATTATTATATTACTATTGTTATAATAATATAATTTATTATTATAATATTATTATTGTTATAATATAATTATAATTACATTTATGATTCTAATTGTAATTATAATTATAATTATAATCATTATTATTTTCAATATTATTGTTGTTTCTATTGTTTTAATTATTATTACTCCGGAGTAATTATATTTCTATTTATAATTATAGATATAATTATAATTTTAGAAATAAATATTATAATTATAATTACAATAATAATAATTATATAAGTAACTATAATTAAATATATGATTACATTATAATTGTATCTATATTTATAATTAGTGTAATTGGTATAATTATTACGTAGTATAATTTTAAATTTAATTTTAATTATTATTATTATTATTATATTTTTTTATAATTATGAGTATAATTATAATTTTATTTAAGTTATATTTATTCGAATCAGATCAGCAAGATTCAGATCAAATCAGATCAGAAACATTCAGATCAGATCAGACTAGATCAGAAAGATGCATATCAGATCAAAAAGATTCAGATCAGATCAGGAAGATTCAGATCAGATCAGAAAAATTCAGATCAGATCAAATTAGAACTTAAAAATTTTAGATTAGAAATATTCAGATCAGATGAATTCACGCCTTCACGGAAGTGAGAGAGAAGATGAGCATGCTGCAGGTTGTTTTTGGGGTGTCCACAAAAAAAATATAAATCTTGATTTTCTTTAAACTGTTTTTTATAATCAATTTTTTTCACAAAAATATATATCAAAATTCTTACTCCCTCCGTCCCTAAATGTTGTTCCAATTGCGGATTACGAAGGTTGACCGACAATAAAGTTAAATGATCCATGTGAAAACTCGGATTATTTTTAGTAAATAAAATTTACATATTCAGAAACTACATTAAACCCGCTACAAAGCCTGCAAAAAACAATTCAACTTTTATAAAATTTTGATATAAAAAGTAAGAGTTTAAGAGTGATTTAAGTTGACCATCGATAAGCGAAATGGAACTTCTTTTAGGGACAGAGGGAGGGAGTATTTTTTAATGATCTTCGATATGATAAAACAAAATATTTTCTTCTCTCCGACTTCTTGACATTTATATATAGATCCTCTCTGTAGCAGCAACGCCACTTAATATTTTTTAGGATTTCTCCAGTGGTGATCGTTGATCACGGCACCGGCTTTTCGTTGGAAATTCCCGGTTTCTCGAATGTGGAAGATGAGTATACTTAGTTGGAACTGTAGATGTCTCGGAAATCCCGCTACAAGGCTATGCTTGACCGACGTAGTGCAGCAGAAGAAACCATCCATTATCTTCTTAATGTCGAGCCGGTCTGACAGGAACCGCCGTCTCATTGAGGGCATTTCGGGACCTTCCCTGTGAAATCGAGATCTTCCCAGTGAAATTTTTTGATGAAATGTTTTGGGAATGTTCTTCATCAAGTCTAGTTTATCCATACCAAATTTAAGCTAAAAATTCAATCGGAAACGCAGTCACATAATTTGTTGAAGATAACTGTGCAGTTAATATATATATAAACAACACAGTATATTTCAAAAAATCATTTGAGTGCCTTCCCGATGACGGTTTTAGCTGAAATTTTTTATGAATAAACTAGACTTGATGAAGAATATGCTCAAAATATTTCATTAAAAAATTCCACCAGGAAGTACCCCAAAGCCGGTCGACCGGACGGAGGTTCCCGTCAAGCCGGCTACACACAAAAGTTTGTCTATATATATATATATATATATATATATATATATATATATATATATATATATATATATATATATATATATGTATATATATGTGTGTGTGTGTGTGTGTGTGTGTGTGTGTGTATATATATATATATATATATATATATACATATATATATATGGTGTGGTTCCAGTGAGAACGATGCTTAACGTGATAACGTGAGAACACTCACATTTAAATCAATGTGGTGCACAATGGAGCTATTCTGTTGCACATTTTCAATTTGGTCGAAATAAGAGTATAATAAATAAACACGGTGGCATTTTTGTAAATACTGTTAAAATGTGAAAATGTGCGATATACAAGCTTCATTGTGCAACACATTGGGGAAAAAGTGGTGTTCTCACGTTCTCACGTTAAGCAATGTTCTCATTTGATCTTTATTCTATATATATATATATATATATATATATATATATATATATATATATATATATATATATATATATATATATATATATATATATATATATATATATATATATATATATATATATATATATATATATATATATATATATATATATAGACACACACACACACATGGGGAAGGATTCAAGTGAAAAGTAGTCTTTCCATGAAAAGTGAGAACAAATCTTAGCCTTCAATCACCTGTAAATGAATGGATTAGATTAACTTTAATTACAAGACACGAAGTCAAATAATGTGCAAATATTTATTGTACAAAGTGGATATTAAATGAGCAAAAGTGCACTCTTGAAGTCTTGAGTACTATAAAAGATTGCCAATTTTTTTAAACTTGTGCACATTTTATGATGTATCGTTATGCACTTTTGTGCTCTACATGTACCCTTTTTGTATATTCTTGTACACTTTTTGTATAACATTTTTTTTAAAAATTCTTCATAATTATGAAAATGTCACCATGTTTTTCTCTTAAAATTTGATCTCTTCCATCCATTTTTTCATATCAATGGCCAAAATTAGTTCTTACTTTTCACCTAGGAAGCACTTTTTATTTGATCCATACTCTCTCTCTCTCTCTATAAGTTGTTCGGTGTTCGGTTTGATTTACAGTTTTTCGGTTTTAAACCAAACCAAACCACATCATTCGGTTTGAGCAAATTCTTTCCCAAACCTAACCACCAATTTTCGGTTCGGTTAAACCAAACCATTTTGCCCACTCCCTAGTTCAAGGTAGGGCTGTTAACGAGCCGAACCGAGCCAGAACACCCAAAGCTCGAATTCGGCTCGTTAAGGAATAAGGGGTGTTCGGGTTCGAGCTCGAAGCTCGACGAGCTTTACAAATGAGGCTCGTGTTCGGCTCGATAGGCGTTCGATGTTCGAACCGAGCGCTCGATAAGCTCGATAAATATGCCCGAATTTAAAATTTTAGATGATGCTCGTTAATAAGCTCGTGCTCAAATGGTTCGACAAGTATTCGGTTCATTAATATTCATATTTAAAATCATAAAACCATACTAATTATATTTAAATTTTGACATATATAAAAATGATATTTAAAATTTTAGGGTGTTCGATAGGCTCGAGTTCGAACCGAGCCGAAAACTACTATGTTCGAGCTCGGCTCGATTAATTTTTCGAACTTAAAACTCAGCTCGAGTTCGAGTTCGAAGCTCGTTAAGCTTGGCTCGTTAGGTTCGAAATCGAGCTCGAGCTCGAATAGTTCGATAAAAGCTCGGTTCGTTAACAGCCCTAGTTCAAGGTGAGCCAACAATGCACTAAATTTTATAAATAACGCAATGAATTTCGTAAATAAAACAAAGTTTTTTGCCACTACAAAAAAGTACAACAAAAAATGTAATAGTGCAAAGCAATGAGGGAAAAGTGTAATGGTTCGCACTTTGCACCGGAGAACCTCCTTTTATTTGAACTCTCCCCTTATATATATACGGAGTATATATTTACTTTTGTCTAAATTTGTTTTTATTTGTGTACGTGTTATTTAGTATGGTCTGATCTTGAATGAAGTAAATCAAATTAAAAAAATTCTAATTTGTTGGAAAAGAATACTTCAATAATGCCATATCCTAATTTTTCTATGTATAAGGTAAAGAACATAGCTTCAAGAGGATTTGGGAGAGCTCTATTCAATATTCAATATTTCTGTTGGGAATTTTCGTTCAGAACATATGGGTAAGTTTGCTGTTTGATCATCTTTCTCTTAACATTCTATTTTATCCATATATATATCTTCTTTCAATTGACTTTTTGCGCCATATCCATCTGTAGAGGGAGAAGAGAAAGGTGGCATTATAGAACCTCTTTTGCATGCTGCCAACATCAGCAGCAAGCCTAGACATTCAAAAGGGAAGGATGATACGCAGGCTCCATATGCCAAAGCTTGTTTCTTTAGTCGTCTTTGTTTCTCATGGATAGGACCATTAATATCTCTTGGGAAAAAGAAAATTCTGGACATTGATGATGTCCCTCAACTCGCCGGTCTTGATAGTGTTAGAGGAGCCTTTCCTATCTTGAGGGACAAACTAGCCAAAGAAAATTCTTCTTCTTCTCATGATAATGATGACAAATTTAAGATCACAACATTTATGCTGGTGAAGGCCATATTTGCCACAGCATGGAAAGAAGTACTTCTGTCAGCTCTTTTTGCCCTTCTATACACATTGGCGAACTATGTTGGCCCTTACCTTCTTGGTACATTGGTTCAATTTCTCAGCCGGAGGCAAGACTTTGATAGTAAAAAAGGGTATTTCTTGGTGTTGGCTTTCTTTTCTGCCAAGTTTGTGGGGTGTTTATCCAGAAGTCACTGGTATTACAAGGTTCCACAGGCTGGGTATAGAGCGAGAGCAGCTTTAGTCGCCAAAGTGTACAGGAAGGGCTTGACACTTTCTTCTCAATCTAAGAAGGGGCGTACCAGTGGGGAGATCATCAACTTCATGGCTGTTGATGCTAATAGTATCAGAAACTTGTGGTTTTTCGTGCACGACTGCTGGCTGATTTTTGTACAGCTTGGTCTGGCAATGGCAATCCTGTATAAGAATCTCGGGCTTTCTTGCATTGCTACACTTATAGCAACAGTTGGGCTGGGGTTACTTAACTTTGCCATTGGGATATCGCAACAGAAGTTTCAAGAAAAGGTAATGCTGGAACTTTTTTGTAGACTATAACATTAACATTTGATTCTGTTCAAATGTATCTCTGTAATGACTTAGTTGCATTTTTCATTAGTGTTATTTAAGTATTATTTTTGGAAATATGATAGGAATATACTGTATTATTTTAAAGGGTTTAGCGGTTTGCCAGTGTTGAGGCTTTAGAAATAGGGCATGCTCAGAGTTCATTCGAATATTAGAGGCCAAGATTTTTATCCTTATATTTTTCTCTGTCCCATAATTTTATTCCTACTTTTCTTTGTATATGTCCCAAAGTTTCCTTTTTAAGGAATGGTTTGTCTGTTTAAAATTCCTACCTCATTTTTCTATCTCAATCATAACCTTTACAAAGCATTTTTCACTTTATTGATAAGTGTGACAATTAAAAGTAGGGAAAAATATAGGACGAAGGTAGTATAGACACCTACATATATAGATAAATGAGCAATTTATATCTTAATACTTTCAATCTGGAAAACATCTACTATTTAAAAGTCCAAATTTTGGACATTTTCACATATAAATGTTTATTTTCACTAGTGTTTGGTTCTTTAAAAGTCCAAAAGGTAGTATTTGGACCAATTATCTTTGGTTTGATTGAAAGGTTAGACTCCTGTATTTAGAATTTAAAATATTTTACTCTTTGGTCTATTGGAAGTGTAGGTTGCAATCTTAAGGTCTGATTCCCAATTTTCATCTTACCAAACTCACCATTTTAAGGTCATTTTTCTAACAGGTAATGGGTTCAAAAGATGAGAGGATGAATGTAACTTCTGAAGCTTTGAGGAACATGAGGCTATTCAAGCTGCAGTCTTGGGAAGCTCAGTTTCTGTCCAGAATCATGGAGCACAGGAAGGAGGAGGCTGGTTGGCTGAAGAAATATATGTACTATTCTTCCCTGAGCGAATTCATATCCTGGAATGGACCCACATTAGTGTCTGTCACCACCTTCATGGCATGCAGGCTAATGGGCACCTCACTGGACTCGGCCAAGATATTGTCAGCACTTGCAGTTTTCCGGATACTTCAAGAGCCTATCAATGAGCTCCCATACACCATTTCCATGCTGGTTCAGATTCGTGTGTCCCTCGACCGGATCGCTGCGTTTCTGTCACTCGATGACATGGCGCGTGACGCCGTTGAGAAACTCCCGAGAGGGAGCTCAGGGAACACAGCAATTGAGATTATTGATGGGACCTTCACGTGGGATAATAATGTGGAGTCTCCATTTCTTAGAGAAATAAACGTTGCAGCTTCTCATGGCATGAGGGTTGCAGTTTGTGGCAGTGTGGGTTCAGGTAAGTCTAGTTTGCTTTCATGCATTTTGGGAGAAATGGTCAAAGTGTCTGGGATGGTCAAAGTGTGTGGTACAATGGCGTATGTTGCGCAGTCTCCATGGATACAGAGCGGAACAATTGAAGAGAATATATTGTTCGGTAAGGAGATGGACAGAGAGATGTATGGCCGTATTCTGGAAGGATGTGCTTTGAGCAAGGACCTTGAGATCCTGTCTTATGGTGACCAAACGATCGTTGGTGAGAGGGGAATCAATTTGAGTGGCGGGCAGAAGCAGCGGATACAGATTGCCCGTGCCTTGTACCAGGATGCCGATATTTATCTGCTTGATGACCCGTTTAGTGCTGTAGATGCTCATACCGGAAATCATCTTTTCAAAGTAAGTAATAATACATTTAAAAAAATCTAATAACAATAGTTATTTTACTTGGCTCTCTAATCTGTATTTTTTTATATACGAATGACAGGAATGTTTACTGCATTTTCTGCAATCAAAAACAGTTATTTATGTAACTCACCAAGTGGAGTTTTTACCTGATGCAGATCTCATTTTGGTAAGTTGTTACACTTTATTATTATTAATATTATCATTAATATTATTATTGTTATCATTATTTTCATGAAAGAATTTGTTTGTTTCCTTTTTAGAGCATCCCACATTAGAAATTTTATGTTGTCGAGGTTTAAGTCCATCATACTCCGTCATCCAAAAAAAAGTCCATTATACTCCGCTTTAGTAACCTCCATAGTTGTTAAAATCGCGATTTAAATCGTAAAATCATAAGATTTTACGATTCAAAATCACCTAATCGATCCAAATCGTATATAAAATCGATTTTGAACTAAATCGGATAAAAATCGTAATTAAATCGTTCTAAATCGCTTAAAATCGCGATTTAAATACGACTTTACGATTTATTAAACTAAAATGCAGCCCAACTAAATTAGGCCCGACTGAAGGCAAAGGGCAAGGCCCAGCCATGTCTTCGAACCCGCAATCGTTGCTGGTACTTTTGATTATTTACTCCCTCCGTAACATTCATATCTTCCCACTTTCCTTTTTTGGAAGTAACATTTATATCTTCCCATTTCTAAATCTTCCCGTCATACCTCAATAATTTAAAAAATAATACACTACTACCCCTACTTTTTTTGGATTTATCCTTCATTCCATCACATTATTTCACCATCTTCCCATCATACCCTCAATAATTCATACCCCATTTCACTATTCTTAATCTGACCCACTTTGGAAGTGGGAAGATATATGTGATACGGAGGGAGTATTATAGTACTGAGAGGAGCAGCTGCGCTCTTTGTCCGGTGTGGGAAATGAAACAAAGCTTTTGAAAACTAAAACACCCTCTACGCACGAGCAGGGACTGGACCCACTAGAAAATTTTAAAGATACTAAGCTATCCACTTATACCATCTTATCTACTTCGTAGTTGTATTCAAGATTCCTTACATTTGTTATCTATGCAGTAATTACTTTTTTTATCCATTATCTATCATACGAAGTACTTCCTCCGTTCCTTTTTAATTGCAACAGTCAACATTTCACGTTTGCCAGCACACAAGTTTGACCATTAATGTCTTTCATTCCTTATTGATAAAAAAATTAAAAAATACATATTTTGAAATTTTAGAATGAGAAGAATTTAACAATTTTTTTTTAAATTTAATTCATAATACATTAATTAATAAAATGTAGTCAAAGTAGAATATGTGAATAGTGCAAAAAGTTCAATGTTGCAATTAAAAGAGAACGGAGGTAGTATTTTTTAGAGAATTATCTTTCTTATTATTATGAGCTTTTAATAATGAGTATAAAATTGTACGACTAAAAATTTAACACTATTTGCCATAATAATGATATATTATGACTATTATCATCTAATATTTTAAATATATATTCTTTATTTTTATTTTTTATAGAATCTTACGATTTACGATTCGATTTTACGATCCGATTTTTAAATCTCTTTACCGATTCGATTCAAAAATACGATTTTAACAACCTTGGTAACCTCACATGTAGAGAATGTGATAGGAACCAGCGATTTCAGAGCAGATTATAAGAAATATTTGTATATTAATCGTCCTGGGAAATTATAGTTGAACACAGAAGAAATCGAAGATGAACAGTAAGGAATTAGAGTTCTCTCTCCCAAGTCCAGAGCCTAACCCAATTTCTGCCTGCCAATTCTACTCTCCCCAACTCCTATTTATTCTTTTCCATATGGGCCAGCCCACTTGCTATTTAGTTAATAGCAAGTGGAGGTCACAATATGTTAATACTACGTATCTATTTGCTGCAAGTAAAATAATTGTTGTGTTGTTTTCTATATATCCTATATCCCTATATATCACAATTTAAAAGTTTGTTTTAATAAGAAGAAAAATAAATCTGAACAGTGTTACATAAGTAATGAAATAGAAAGATGAAGCTTTAAACAACAAAAACAAATAAACTAAATTAAAAGATTGTGTATAAACACAATTTAGGTCCAATGACATAAAGAATACGAATTCTAACAAAGGAAATACAAACACAGGGAATTAAAGTTGTAGTTCTGGGTATGATGAAAGCACAGTGATGAAAATGTGGAAACTCATCAAAGAAAACTGCCCGGTGCAACCATGATTATAATAGCCACGTGCAGGGATGGATTTAGGGGGGGGCGCGGGGGGCGACCGCCCCCCTTGGACATTCAATTTTTTTTACCATATATGTAATATTTTCATAAAACTTTCATAATTTAATTAGATTCGCCCCCCTTAGCTTTTTTAATTTTCAAAATTAGTATATAGTCTTACATAATGTAATACTTAATTGGAGATTTAAAAGAAGAAACATCTAAAATAATTTACATAACTTAAACAAATAAACAATAGAGTAACTCGTTATTTAAGATTTAGGATACTTATTATATAAGAATTCATAGTTTTGTAATGTTTAATTATCTTTATTAGATAACAAGTACTAGATTTTGTAAAACATATATTAAACAATATTAAATACCAGACACACTAATTACACAACTTTTAGATCACGTGAAATGAATCCAAAATATAAATATTTATAGACATTAGATTACATAATTCATTTACTTCTTGCTTTCTAAAAATAATTTATTGCATGGATAATAAACTTTAAATTATTATAGAATTAATAAAAATATTAAAATATAATATGCACCATATGTGTGTGTATGTGGTGCATATTATTCTAAAAATAACAATCTCATACATACTAGTATACTACTATTGTAATATTAAGAAAACTTCTCATGAGTCATGACTCACGAACACCCCCATTGGTGGACAAAAATTACAATTCAATAACCGATTCATGAGGTTAAACAATGTAGAAGTTATTATAAATGTATTGGTTGATGTTTTTGTCATCGTCTAAATTTAGAATGTAATAGATTTAAATGCCGCTCGGGATGTGCATGTATTAATGTAATTTTTTGAATAAAAATAGACGCATAGCTATACAGCAACGAAAAAATTTCGCCCCGCTACACTAGGGGAAAAATTTCACCCCCGCTACACTAACAAAAAAAATTCACCCCCTACACTAGCGAAAATTTTCGCCCCCCTTGACTCAGAATCCTGGATCCGTCCCTGGCCACGTGTATAGACTCTGGAGCTCATATCTACTGCATCGTCAATTCAAGTACTCCATATTTGCATGTACATCAAATTGCTATGTGTGAAACAGCCTGTGTTTTGCAAGGTCGGCCACATGTGAAACGAAGTATTCAGGCGGGAACAGTTTTTTCTCACGATTCCATTTTATATATATAATAAAGATTTCTGCCTGCCAATTCTACTCCCCGCAACTCCTATTTATTCTTTTCCATATGGGCCAGCCCACTTGCTATTTAATTCAGGGCCTAAACCCCTTTATTTGTACAATAATGAAAGACTAATAATGAAAGTCTCTATATCTGGTGTGTTATGTCCAAGCGTAGTATTAAAGTATGTGGTTAGCTTGCATGGTTAGTGGTGTGCACCAGTCCAGAACTAGACCTGAATCAGTTTAAACATGAATAGAAGATCATAGTTTTTTAAGAACGGAAGACCGAACCGATAACAAACCGGTCCTGACCTTACTATATTTGTTCATGCCAATCCAGTTTGGTCATGAATCAGTTTGGATGTGTAATATAAATTGCATTTTTTAGTTTTAGAACCTACATTTTATTGAATTTACAACCAATTAATCTTCTATCAATCTATAACAATTTATGTTTGTCATTTGTTTTACCTTTTCCAGTATTAAAATCATATTTTGAGTCACACCAGCAGTACAGTGCAACTTAAGATATTTGATCTTTAAATCCAGTAGTCATATGATAACGTATTTGCTTTACCAGGTTATGAATGGAGGAAAGATCACACAAGTAGGCAAGTACAATGAGATTGCAAAATCAGGTAGCGATTTTATGAATCTTGTGGGTGCACACAGAACTGCATTATCAAAATTTGAAGGCATAACTGAGGATTGCAATGATTTAAGACGGAATGTGGAGATAGATGTGAACAAACTCAAAAGCACCAGAGAGGATGAAAACAAAATATATGGGCAGGAAGGGCAGCTTGTTCAAGAAGAGGAGAGGGAGAAAGGCGGAGTTGGTTTCCCTGTTTACTGGAAGTACTTAACATTGGCATATAGAGGATGGCTAGTTCCCTTGATATTATTGGCAGAGATTCTATTCCAGCTGTTGCAAATTGGGAGCAACTACTGGATGACATGGGCTACACCCGTGTCTGATGACGTGTCACCTCCTGTTAAGGGCTTCGTTCTCATCTTCGTATATGTCGCATTGGCTCTTGGAAGTTCTTTCTGCAATCTTGCTCGGGCCTTACTTCTTGTCACTGCTGCATACAAAACAGCACAGCTACTTTTCTATAAGATGCATTCTGCCATTTTTCGTGCTCCCATGTCATTTTTTGATTCCACTCCTAGCGGTCGGATTCTCAATCGAGTATAGCTTCCAGACTTTTATATTATTTTATATGTCTATTTGAAGTTATGTTTTGTTTCTGCTGCTATTATTTCAACAGTTTTGGTATGTACTTTTAAGCTTTTTTAGTCTAAATAAAATGCTGACTTCCATGCAGGCCTCTACAGATCAAAACAAAGTGGACTTGAGCCTTGCATCTGATGTTGGGGCAGTTGCATTCTCAGTTGTACAAATTTTGGGAGTTGTCGCAGTGATGTCACAAGTTTCCTGTGCAGTCCTTATTGTTTTTATAATCATACTCGTAATTGGCATCGGGTTGCAGGTACACACATAACATAAATTGTAGGCTTGTAGCTCTTTAATTATCTTAGTCTATTTGGGGCAAACACCTCAACACACCCAGCCCGAACATACTCAGCAATTTAAGGCGTATATAAATGGACCACAATGCCTTTAAATGGGCTACCCAAACTATTGGTGGAAAATGAACCAAAAAATCATAATCGAAACTAGACTTCAAAACTGTATAAAATTATGTTCCATCCTAAAACTTTGTGATGGGAGTAGCATGTGATTTTATATTTCAGATAGTTAGCTGGTGTGGGATATACTTTTTCAACTAATATGTATTGCATGCATTTTTCAGAGATATTATATAGGTTCTGCAAGAGAGTTATCACGATTATCTGGTGTTCGAAAAGCTCCTTTGGTACAACACTTTGCTGAGACAATTTCGGGGGCAACAACGATTAGAAGTTTTGGTCAGGAGGCAAGATTCATGGACACGAGTATGGATCTAATTGATTCTTACTCTAGGCCGTTGTTCTACTACACAGCTGCTTCAAGGTGGTTAGACGTTCGCTTGGATGCACTCTCCCTTGTTTTGTTCACTTCTTCATTGGTTTTCTTGATTTATATTCCTGAGGGCACAATTGACCCAAGTAAGCATGCAGCTTCTTTACTGCTCTTCTGATTTGCTTCTTCTTTGTTACTACACAGAGAAGTATCTGTCATCCAATGATCTTATTTTTTTTGTTTTCATATCTCATTATAATAATGAATATATAAGGTATTGCGGGTTTAGCGGTGACATATGGACTTAATCTAAGCATGCTACAAAATCTGCTAATATGGTATGCTTGCCAAATGGAGAACGAAATGATCTCAGTTGAAAGAATGCTTCAATATATTTGTATTCCAAGTGAGCCCCCTCAAGTCATAGAATCTAACAGGCCTGACCCTCACTGGCCAACACAAGGAGAGATCAATATTTGCAACCTCCAGGTAATTCTTGTTTGACTGGTGATGCTTCTATAGTTTTATGTCATTACCATTCTTCGTTGTAAAACTAACTTTGTCACTATACTTCACACTAATTTATTTATTTCATATTATGTGATGTTTATATTTTTAGGTTCGATATGCTCCACACATGCCTTTTGTATTACGAGGTGTCACCTGCACTTTGTTTGGAGGAAAGAAAACAGGAATAGTTGGGAGGACGGGCAGTGGAAAGTCTACACTTATACAAACTCTCTTTCGCATTATCGAGCCGACTACTGGTCAAATATTCATAGACGGGATTGATATATGTTCAATTGGACTGCATGATTTGCGGTCAAGACTAAGCATAATCCCACAGGATCCAACTATGTTCATGGGCACAGTACGGGGTAATTTGGATCCACTTGGAGAGTATACTGATGAACAAATTTGGGAGGTTAGATTCGATCTCAGTATTTTAATAACTTAATCTAAAAAATTAATCTGGTTAAACAAAAAAAATTAAACTGTTGGTTAGCTTTAATTTCTTATATCATCACTGCATGTGAGTGTTTGTAACTAAATGTGTGATTCGTTTTCCTTTGGTCAAGGCTATTGACAAGTGCCAACTCGGTGATGAAGTTAGAAAGAGAGAATGCAAACTAGACTCTGCAGGTTTGCGGTTTATGCTCTATTATTTGGACTGCATTATAAAGAGAGTATCTAACTATCTATAAATGGATGATCTCACATGATAACGTAAAATAAACATAAATATCTATGGCATATGCAATCAATTCTTGTATTGTTTCTAATGTACTATTATAATTGTAGTTGTTGAAAATGGAGAGAATTGGAGTGTGGGTCAAAGACAGCTAATGTGTCTGGGCCGTGTGCTTCTGAACAAAAGGAAAGTACTAGTGCTTGATGAGGCTACAGCTTCAGTCGATACTATCAGCGATAATTTGATTCAACAAATTGTAAATCAACATTTCTCAGGCTCTACGGTGATCACAATCGCACACAGGATAACATCTGTCGTAGAGAGCGATATGGTTCTCCTGCTAGATCATGGTATTTGAATACTTTATTATCTCTGTAGTATAAGTTATTTAAGAACACTCCTCTTAAATATAAATATGATGATTCTTTTCCCAAAAACAGGTCTCGTATTGGAATATGATTCTCCGAAAAGATTGTTACAAGACAAGTCATCGTTATTTTCGAAACTTGTTTCCGAGTACACAATGAGATGAAGCTCTAGGTAGGAGGGTGAAGCAAGCATGTGGAGCTCATAAATCATACCCTTTGCTTCCTTATAGCTTTCAGGTCTGAACATTTTTAATGGCATGATGATCAGAAATGGGATAGATTTTTTTTTTTAACACATTCTTAAATATCATTACGATCAGAAATGGGATAGAACTTTGAGTACTCCAGCATTTAGTTAGGAATTAGTTGATCTGGCGAAAACTACCTATTTTAGATTTTTAGTGTACGTACTTATTATGCAACTGAAGATGCTTAACTAAATAAATTTAGTCTGCAGCTCACTTACTAAATCAATTGTGATCGGATGATTAGAAAAGTTTTGGTTCTGATGAAGAAACTCATGACTCGTCTGAGGGTCCTCCACCCCCATACGGCCATACCTGTGAGATCTGGAATCATCAAGCAAATTGAAATTCATACACTTGACCCTTTTAAAGCTAATGAGGTAGTGTTTGCAACTGCTTCTGTTTAAAAAAAACACTTTTGAAATGATTTGGAAAAAGTGATTAGTAGTAGGGGTGGACATGGGTCGGGATGGTTCGGGATTAGGGTTATCCCGGTCCCGTCCCAATTAATAATAACGGGACGGGACGGTACGTGACAAGCCTTTGTCCTAGTCTTGTCCCATTTAAATCGGGACCGGGATGGTTCGGAACGGTTCGGGATGGTTCGAGACGTCCCAAACTAACAAAAAATAATCCATTCGTAATTAATATATATTAGCATTTCGAAAGTATCATGCACAACATATTAACATTTTAAAAGTTAATTGATGTTCATCACAAGCTAAAAGCTACTACATATTAGATTTTAGTTAGGTTTAGCAAAATTTGAAATTTAAATTTAAAACAAAGCAAAAATGAATTAGTTTATTCAAAATCATGTGTTCTATTTGTGAGATACTCATATGTAGATATATAAAGTGAGATAAAAACCTATGTTAGTATATATTTATGTTAGGTATTATTTTTAATTTAAAAATTGGGCTTGAAAAACTAAAAACATGTTATTATTTATTTTTGGATTTGACATTACAAACTAGTCACATGCTACAAAATCGATATAGTTATCACAAACGCGACAACGGGACGGTTCGGGATAACCTTTCAATGTGCCGGTCCTGTCCCGTTTAAAATCGGTACGGGACCGGTGCGGGACAAAATCAATGAGACCCAAATGGAACGGGACAACACCGGTACGGTTTCGGGATATATCGGAATGGGACAACGGGACCGGGATTCTTGCCCGTCCCTAATTAGTAATAAAAGTTGATAGTGTTCGAGAAAAAAATGATTTTGAAATGTAAAAGGTGGTAGTGTTTAGTAAAACAAGTGCTTTTGTGTTATAGAAAAGGGAAAAACAAAAAAGGGGAGGGAGCAATTTCACACGAAAGACGAGAAAAGTAAAAATGGTAGTGTTTGGTAAATAAGTGTTTTTTAACCCAAAAGCCGAGAAGTGCTTTTTTTAAGCAGTTGCAAACCAGCCTTAAGAGACCTGCCAAAATACATTCGTAAGAAATGGTTCCAATATTTTATTTTCAGCATTCCAGAACTTCTATCTTCAATCACAAAGAAACTCAGAGGCCATTTGGCAACACTATTTTTCGGATTATTAGGCTTATGAGCCAATTTTTTCACCAAACACGTAACTTTTGTTTTTGCGCACAGGATTGTGTTATACGCAAAAAAAAGTAAGGTTGAAGTTACTTTTCTGGTTGTATTTGCTGAAGAGACTGTAGATGACCATTTTAGCTATTTTTACATATAATTTTTCCTTTATTTTATAAATAAAATATTTTCAAATTTTTTTTCTTAAATCGGCAGAATCAGCCAATGCAACCACTACAGCCATAACTCATAAATTTCAGTAGAATCAACCAAATCAATCGATTTCCGTGCTACTTAAGGGTGGGCACGGTCCAGGACGGTCGGGGTTTTGGCTAATCCCGGTCCAGTCCCGGTTTTATAATATCGGTTCGGTACAGTTCGGGATAAGCCTTTGTCCCAATGTTGTCCCATTTAAATCAGGACCGGGACAACCCGAGAAAATCTGGTACGGTCCGGGACATCCCACAAAATCTGGAATTTTGAATTTAATAAAAAAACAGGCATAATATCGAAATAAAGGCACAACCATTACTACACACCTAGCTTCCCTAAATGGCTAAAAAGATGCAAAAGCTAGATTTCAGGAGGATCAGTAGTACAGAGATGTCTACATTTCACTAATTTCAGAATTTTTGAACATATGATATTATGATTTCAGGAGCAGTAGTACAGAGATAGCTAAAAAGATGCAAAAGCTAGATTTCAGGAACAGTAGTACAGAGATGTCTACATTTCACTAATTTCAGAATTTTTTAACATATGATATTATGATACCAAAATCACTGCATTTCAAGTCTTCAAGTAGGAAGTTGGCAAAAGAATCAAAAGAAAAACATGTTTACTCTTTACACATTTCAGAATTCTCAGAAGCAATATAACAAATGTTTGGGCTAAAAAGTTTATTTGGGCTTTGGTATTAGATAGCATTAAAAATTAAAATAACCTAATAAATTGAAACGGGCCGGGACACCGGGACGGGACGAGACATTTTATAGCTGTCCCGGTCCCGTCCCATTTGAAAACGTTTTGGGACCGGTTCGGGATGAAAAAAATGGATCCTAAATGGACCGGGATAGTTTCGAAACGGTACCGGGATATTTCGGTTTGGGACACTAGGACCGGGATTTTTGCCCAGTAATCGGTATAACACTCTTGTAATCCTATTCACAAGAATAGCCTATCTATGGGTATGGTTAGTCATGTTTTTAAGCCTTGATCAAAAGAAAACGAATCACGCATTTAGTTAGATACACTCACATGCAGTGATGATATGAGAAATGAAAACTAACCAATAGTTTTTTTTGTTTCCCGGAATTAATTTTAGCTTTTTGATTTCAGATCAGATTAGACCAAACCAAAATATAATAAACTTAAACTAACCGGATCAAATTAGACCAGATCAGACTTTGATAATTATCAAATACTCACAAAAGTATAAAATGAACATCTATCAAACCACAGTGCCACGCTAGACAAGACTGGATTAGACTTGATCAAAAAAGTACAGTCTGGTTCAAAACAACCTTAATGGCAACCACATCCAGTAACTAGGGGTGACTGGCCCAGCCTACTCCGACCGGCGCGACCTGCTACAATGTGGGACCGGACCGGCCCGGGTGACCGGTAATGGTACCAGGCTTAGGCCCAACCCGAGGGAGTAACCGGGGGCAGTTCCGGGACTCCTAAAATGCGAACCGGCCCGACCCGGTTCAGGCTTTTTTTTTAGTTTTTTTTTAGTTTGGGCTGGGCTGGGCTGGGTTGGGATGGGTGTTTCCGATGGGTTTAGGGTGGAGGGGGGATGGGGGTGGGGATTGGAATATATAAGAAAACACTATAAAAAATAAAAAAAAATATAAAAACATAAAAAAGGAACCCGCCTGGGCCGCTCCTGGGCCTTACCCAAAAACATCCAAGTCTGGCCGGGCCCAGGCCCTAACCAGACCGGGCCTTGTCCACCCCTACTTACATGGATCACAATATCGATTCAAAATATTGAGAACTGAATAACCGAATTATCTATGTTATATCTATATTAATACGGTAGTGTATATTTGAGATCTTTTTATACTTTAATCAATCAAAAAATACTGTTATTCAATCCAACATTTTTTGTTTGTATAGCCTACAATTACAATTATTTTGATATAAACTAAACGTCAGAATATTTCTAATGTGATGTTAACACTATATTGGGTGCATTGTGCATAAAAAAGGTTTGCATAAGTACTGTGGTTATGTCTTATTGTTAATTCTATGTTTTTGTGCTAATACATGCACATGTATTACTAGACGTGATTCTTTAGTATGCTTCGGGATGGCAATGGGGCGGGTTTGGGGCGGGGGTATACACTCCCCCATCCTCCACCCCATGTCTAAAAAGTTCCCCCCATCCCCGCCCAATCCCCCGTTACTCCCGGACCTGCCCCATCTCCGCCCCACCCCATTGTCCCCCACGGGTGCCCCCGGGCCACGGGTGCCCCCATATAAATTTAATTTATCGTATTTGCATATACTTTTTAAAATCTTATTATAAATATATGTAGTGTGATTTCAATGAAAATGATGTTTAACGTGGGAACACTCACATTTAATCCAATATATTACACAATAATCCAATGTGACACACAATAGAGCCATTCTAATTCACATTTGGACTTCGCTCAATACAAGCTAATATAAATAATCAAGGTGGCACTTTTGTAAATATTGTGCTAGATACAAAAAAGTGCATTGTGCGAGCCCGTTGTGCTTCACATTGGGGGTAAATGTGGTGTTCGCACATTCTCATGTCAAATGTTGTTTTGATTTGATCCCAAGCCTATATATATATATATATATATATATATATATATATATATATATATATATATATATATACACGCACACAGTGATATATGACACACACACACGCAACACTGAAGTATTGTGTTTGTTAAAAGTTAATACCACCAATTTTAATAATTCTTCAATTTGAAAAAGTTTTGTGAATTGAATACAATTAAAGTAAAAATATAAGTAAACATATTATCATCTCATGTACGTTGTTTCAAAATTCTCAACAATTATAATACAATTAATTACATATTATATTACATATAAATGTTTGTGTATTTATTTACTCTCTTACTCTTAAAACTCATATACGGAGTAACATGTATGATAAATATTTTTTAATCATCACTAGCTTATTATTATTCTAGTATAATGTGTATTAATTCATTAACCATGATTAAACCGTATACAATTATGTATGTCTATATGTATATGCGTTTGTTATATACTACAAATAATTTAATTTAATGTGTGTACATTATTTATGTTTGTGTGTGTGTGTGTATACTAGCTTGGGCGCGCGCGTTGCGCGACGGTTGATGCCCAATCTTGGGAAAAAACAAGAAAGTTGCATCACATAAGAAAGATGCGCGAATACATCACAAAAGCAAATCGAAAAAGTAGTTCAATGTTGTCTATCAACAAAGCGAGGGTACAATAGCGTGATGCGAGATCAAGAAAGGCCATAACCATCAACGCATGCAGCGCTACGTATCTCATATGTATTGGTGCGACTTGGCAGCTCCTCTACACCACATGATGAAATGGCAAGCAACATCACTCTACCGCGTCCATACTTCAGGAAGACGAGTGTGGAATGCCGCTTAGTTCAAAACTCATCTGGACTTGGCGCAAATGGGTTCTTCACCAGTCACAAAATAAGCATCTTCTGCGCCATGGTAGATATGTAGGCGGTCCCTCATGTCGCTGCACGACCTCAAGAAAGCTTCACAGCATTGCTGCATTGGGATATCACTACTACATTTAAAGGCTTTTTGTAACAGCCAAATTTGTTACCTTTGATCGAAAAGTCTGTTACATTTTACTTATTGTAACAGTTTTTAATCGTTACATTCGCTGGCGTTGCCTTTTCTCAATGGTAACGGTATGTAACGATAGTTAGAACCAATTGTAACACTTTTCTCAAGACACTGGAAGTGTTAGCACATCCGTTACAATAGGTTGAATACAAATGTAACAACTTTTAACTTTCATAAATGTAACGCTTTAGAAAAATATGCAACAAATTTTATATCAAATATATTATCTAATGTAACACTTGTTATATATATAACCATACTGATTTACATAGGAATGAGAAAATGTACAAATATTAACTCGAAAATATGTCTTCATTAAATTTAGAATACATTGTACACTTCATACATCAGTGATCAATCTATCAAGTCTAAAGACATCAACTTAGCATGCAAAAACTGCAGAGAAGAAAATACAAAGGAATTATCTAGACTAGATGCAAGGCTCAAACAGTATAACTGATGAAGTCTTGATCACATTGCTAAGAACTCATTGAGCGTCCTCAAGTCTCTATTAAAACCCCAAATATATTAGAAGCATTATATTCCAGTGAGAAACCACGTGTGCATCATTTGGTTCTATTCCATCCTTGTCTTCGAGTAAATCCCTAGCCTGCAAAACAAATAATTCAAATAATTAACACTCATGTTCTGTATTTTTACTCTTACTTTTTTTATTTGTTTTGTTGTTCTTTTTCTTTTTTATCTACATTTTTGTTTGTGTGTTTTAATTTATTGCAAAACATAAGCAATTGATGAGTGGTTTTTTATACATGAGCAATTGAGTTCTTAGTAATCAGGAAGGAGATATGAAATAGTGGAGCACATGCATCATTATGATTAGTTGATTACTAGAAAGTATATGGAGCGATTCAGAATACCTGAAGATCTAAACATGGTGTGAACTCTAATATCCTTGAACCATGCCAAACATGTTTAAATCTATATGTAAATCTATAATGCCAATAGACTCATTAGGATCATATAATTATGCTTTCCTTGATAGCATAAATTATCTACAAAATCACATACTTGAAAGTAAAAAATATATAATGGAATACATAGCAGTATAGCACGCACACACTAATAGCAATATGACTGTAGCTGCCATCTTTTCTTTTTGAAGCAGCTGTAATAATGTAATAACAGATATTTGTAATCCTAATGAAAGAAAACCCCAAATTATGATGAGAAAGGCATACCAGGTTGATTCAACTTGTGATGAAGGTTAGCAAAGTGTGGATCCTCAAGTCTTTACACAGAAAAGGCGTTGAAATGCAAGTCTCATCCTTACTGCCTTCGTCTATTTTCATTGGCAGTATAGACAATCTGATTAACATGAGAAAATAGTTTTGTTTTACTAGATACTTCGTATACGATTAACATACCTGTGAAATAAATTAGTCCTAGAAATCGCCCGAGAATCACAGAGATGGCAGTTTAAACTCATCTTTATACTTCATGAGCGACGGGTACTGGCCAATCGAGAACCCTATAACCCAAAATTACTTTTTTGTATTTCATGAACACAAAAGATCATAGACTTATCTATCTAGATATAAGGAAGTGAACATATCAAGAACAACTTAATTTATTGTAAAAACAATGTAAAATAAGTTAACACTTGTAAAATTCACATCTTTATAACAACTAACCATACCTAATGTTTCTAATAAGAAATTAAGAACCCACCATAACACCATAACAACTAAGATTATGTAGGTACTCAACACCTAAGCTTTTGCTTTTATTCTATACACAATGTATAAAAACGGTTGTTTAACCAACAGGGAAAATAAGATAATACATGGTGTTGTTAAGTTAGGTTTTCTCATCTTTAATAAGATCCTGAATCAAGCTTGGCCCTTATGGAAAACTCAATGACTAACTTTGAACTTATTTCTCATCTTTAAATCACTTAAGGAATTATAATTTTGTATCCCGGGACAGATGAAACATATATGTGACAATCGAGCGGCACAACACATTGCTTCTAATCAAGTATTCCGGAAGAACAAAATACAATGAAGTCATTGTCATTTAAGCATAATGCTCAGTTCAAGGGAGATTATTACCTTAGAGCAAAACAACTGGATGTCATACATTTCCAATGAAACTCAGAGTATTCGTTCTACAAGTTCCAGCTTGAGAGCGGTGTTGAAAAACACTATCATCAGCACACAAACAGAAGCCTCAGAACCCAATCGTACATTTAGACATTTTAGAATTGTTACCTCAACATTTCTATAGAGACACATATTACATCTTCAGATTAAGTGATGAACTAATAAAATCATTCCTTTAAGCAATAAAATGTGGGTTAGATGACATTTTTTGTCAAACTTCATAAAAGTTAAAATAACAATGATGGCAGTTTTATGGAGATTTAGATTGAATACATTTAAGGTCATTTATGCTGCAGTAAGTAGCAAAAGAAGTGATTTCAAGTGGCCGAATTGTTTCAATTTTCTTCCTCAATTTCCTTCTAGGTATGTATATCCCTTCCAAATCACAACGTACAGAAAACCTTTCAAGTTTCAATCATACACCTCTATAAGATAAAAGCCCCTGCTATAGCTATTTTCACTTTTGATTGCCTTACGAAATGAAATAAAAGCAGTCCCAATCTACTGGTTCAAAACTGGGTCCAGAATTGGTAGCTGGAATTGATGAAGGCAGTAAACTATATTACGACAGTGAAGACATGGAGTAACTTCTGAAGTAACAAATGATGAGATTTTGATATGCGGTCTTTGGTTTTTGAGAGACAAAATATCAGCAACAGATAAGTGGAAAACCCCAAATAACATAAAAAATTATAGATACATAGTGCAAAGTTTGAACGAGAAATTTTAAGGGCATAACTTATCTCTCCTCCGTAGCGGCTTTCAACGGCAGAGGAATCCCAGATTCACCACTGGCTCCCCCAAATCGGATGAGGTAACCGAACTCCTGCTTTTCCCTTTACCCTCGGTGCTCTACTCCAGTTCTATTACCCCTCTCCACATCTTCAAGTTCCGCTACCATCACTGCATGCACAGACCGGTCTCAGATTCAAAGTGATCTACTCCTCTAGCACGACCGATGCCACCGATGTGGGCTGTGTCCAGTGTTGGAGAAGTCGTGAAGTGCATCTAATTTATTAGGGATTTTATTTTTATTCACCAAACAACTTTAGTTCTAGGGGAAGGGGTTTAATTTACAGAAGAGTGGCGGACACTTTGAATTTGGGGAAATTGGACTGCCGCTTTTTTCTCTATGAGCAAATGTAACATTTATATTTAACTAATGTAACAACAGGTCTAATTTTATAAAAGTGTTACAATAGGATTAATGTTAAAATAACTATTGCGATAAAATGTAACACTCTATTTAAAATTGTTACAATAGACCAACCTTTTGTAACATTTTATCTAAGTGTTACAATTTTACCATTACATTAGACTCGAAAATGTAGTAGTGTATAGAAATGCATTGTAATGATCATGGAAAACGAATGGCAGTGTGAGAGTTTTTTATCTGAAGTTGTTTAAACAATACATGTTTTGTGAATCTTTGAAAGAGTGGATGGCATAGAATGCAAGTTGGTGTTCGAAAAGAAGTCAAAACCTTTTTTTGACATTTCTGCAATTGTTCTATATTTCCCAACTGATGTTCTTGGTACCTATTGCATCTGGTCATTTACTAAGTTTAAGTGTTTTCTCAAAAAAGTAAACAAAGAAGAGTAAAGAATGTCATACTAAATAACAAGGAATGGAAAATAGCACACACCTTCGCAGTTCGTTTGGGCACATAGAGAAAAGAGGGAGGACAATACAACTGCCGGTACGAGCAATCTTGGAAAAAGGACTCCATGTAGACAAGGAATTCATCTGTAATTGACAACGATGGAACATGTTCGTGATACTGTCCTGAGGCAATCACAAACAACTTTTAATGAGAACTAAGCTGAGCCAGCAGTTGAAAATGACGATAGGCGAAGAAGATATTTACCATCCTTGACAATTTAAATCTGCAGTGAAGAACTCTCCGACGAACCCCATTCTCAAAGTGAACGTTTAGGAGCAGATTACAAGTAGGGGTGCAAATAAGCAGTTGCACTCCTGTGAAATCACGAAATGTATAAATCTTAATTTCAAACCTGAAATTAAGAATTACAGTTAACATGATAGGCATAAAACACGATAAACATGGAACAAAAAAACAGAAGAAATTACCAGTGTAGTTCACCTGCTCCATTTGGAATAACACTCTTAACATGGAAAAGAAAAACAGAAGAAATTACAAGTGTTAAGTGCAGTTCACCGGCTCAAAATAAACAGCTGGACTCCTGTGAAATCACAAGATGTATAAATCTTAATTTTAAACCTGAAATTAAGAATTACATTTAAAACAATAGGCATAAGACACGATAAACATGGAAAAGAAAAACAAAAGAAATTACAAGTGTAGTTCCCTGCCCCTTTTGGAATAGCACTCTCAACATAAGTGATATTCACAAGAGGCCTTCCGTTTTCAAAACGATAAATGTAAAACACGCCAATCCATACACCCATTTTCGCACTCCCACATTTGCCATACTCCCAGTTCAATTAAACAAACTTTATTTTATTTTCTTTTCATTTATTTTCCCTTCATTCTGAATAAAGCTACATTTCTTGAGGCACTCTCAGTTACCCCGTTGACGCTTGTTGAAAAGGCTACATTGTTAAAACATCGATGTTGTAGAGAAATCACACCAACATAGATGGCAATAGGAGTATAAGTAGGGTTAAAGGCGTTTAACTGCTATAAGTAAGGGTTCATTTTAAAACACCAACATTATAAAATGAGCTTCTAAAACATACCTCATATGACGTTTTGTCCAGAAGCAGCGAAGCCTGAAGGAAGAAGATTGTCTTAGTTCCCGGAATACCTGAAACTCTTGAAAGCCGATGATGGAAACCTGGGACTTTGTTGAATACCTGAAGCAGTCAATGAGTGAATTAATTCAAGTCATCTACCAACTAAGTTTTCAAAAGAGGGTCTACAACACACACAACTATGACACGTACACATGGAATCTCTAATAAGAAGCTCAACAACTAAAAATCTTCAAACCAAGCATTATGTTCATACGTTCGAAAATATATTTCAATGCAAATATTTTTATAACTTGAATGACTGGCGATAAGCATAAAAACATATATGCAAAAAAATAACACCCGTAAACTT